CAGACTTTAATAGCTACTTCTTTTTTGATTGTTTTATTTCCAAGAAAAAGTCACCTGGATTGCACTGAATATTTCTGTGAAATCTCAGTTTAACTTTTACTTTCTGAATATTTTTTTTTTCCTTAAGGAAGAAAAACCCAGAGTTTTATCTCACTAAATGCAATTAAAAACTACAGAAGTCTTTCAAATGTACTGCAATATTTGGGAACCAATGGACTACTTTCTCTCAAGTACTAATGAATTCCCTATAGTAGTGCACAGTTTTCTACCAGAGAAAATCATAGTGTAATTTTCTAGAATTAAGTCTGAAATGTTAGACTGCTTCCATAACCTCCCTCTTCATGTGCATCTGAAATGTTGTAAACCGATTTACTTCCTGGACGTGGTACTCAAAACTGATGCTTCTTCTTTAAGGGCATTTTTTTCATTTTTTAACTGATTGAAAGTTTTAAGTCCACCATTTAGACCTTTTTCCAACTGCTGAGAGATGCTATTAAAAAAAGAAGTCCTTGTGAATCCTCTATTTCCATATTCAGGCTTATGCCATTTTTTTCTGGTCTTCAGAATTCTACTCAAGAAAATACACTGGAGCTTTAAAGAAAGTAGTGAAGTAAATGGACACTAAACAATCCCTTTTGACTATTACTTCTGAGAAATCATTCTGTCTCTGCTTTCCATTGTTACTGCAACCCATAAGGACTGCATCTGAACAAGCATGAACAGGGAGGGACACAAGTCAAAGTATCACAATACTTTTGTTCTCTTTAAAATGTATTTGTCTAGAGTCTGATTCATAGTACTATTTTATTTCTCATTACTACTTTGACTCCTCAAAATCTTCCCAGGATGGATTTTTTAAAAGTGCACTTAAAATCCAAATGTATGGGGTTAACCAGTTCTCTTTTATCTTCTAACATATAATGTTCAAAACCTTCTTTCCAATATTTTCATATACTGAAATCCACGTTTAGTGGATACTGAGAATTATTGCCTCAGAAAAGGCTTTTTTTATGAAATAAGGGTCCATATTCTGCAGTTTAGATTCTCAGCAGGTTTTTTAGCAGATTGGCTACTTTATAATTGAGTTATATTAGATGACCTGGAAAAATATCAGCAATTCTCTCTTAAACTTTTTGATTTGTCGAAGTGTAACATTAGTCATTTCTTATGCCTCAACTTCAATTTTTTACTGGATAAATTAATTCTCAAACTAATATATATATATATATATAATATATATGTGATGTGATGTTATATAATATAATGTGATGAAGATACACGTAACATACACTTAAATGTAGCTTCTCTTCAATATTCATATCTTCTCTCTTTGGATCCTTTAGATCATTACAATCCCACTGATGCCAAATGATTTCTTGCCTTTTCTTTTACGTACCTTTTATACAACTTTAATGTATCCTCAGTATTCTTAGCATGTATACTTGTTATTCCTTAAGTCCAATAACTTAGCATAACCCTTGTATTTTGTTAGGCCAGGAGACCAAACATCCTAAAGGCCTCATAGCAGGAGGCTGGAAAACCCCAGGCTATCTTGGGAAACCAAGATCCCAAACCTAGTATCTCTCTAGAACACATCCTGTAAACTAAACATTTGGCCCATCCAGGGGGGAATTTGACGGATGGGGGGAATATCACACCATTCATCCAGGCCTCCCACTGGGGCATCCTTGCTAGATATGCTGATTTGTAAAGTCTATAAAACTGTACACTGATTTATTGTGTGTGTGCATTGTGGCACACTCCACCTTGGTGAAGTGGTGCACTGATCAGGAAGGATCCTCGTTAAAATACCAAGGTAAAAACCCTTATCCCTTAACTGTGTCCAGCTCTCTATTTTCTAAGACCAGGAAAAGGCATCAACACAAACTGAATTATTCTGTTAATGGCTATTTAATTCAGAATTATTCACTTCTCCTGCAAGCCTAAGGAAGAAAGGTGGAGTGCACTTACATGATTTTCACTCACAACTTTGCATCAGCTCGCTTTGTAGCATATCTGATATTAAGCATTTCTCTGTTGAAGTGTTCTGTAACATACTGCACCTGGCATGACAGACTCAATAAAGTTTTCCTGTATGTACTGTATGAAGTCTATCTTATGTTTGCATATTGCACTGAAATTAGAGATATCACTACTGGATACACAAAGGAAGCACTTTCATAATATGATCTGCTTGTATTTTCCCTGAGTTCAATTATATTCTCTTCATTTCTGTACTGTTCTGTTTGCTTCACCACCTGGTTCTTGATATTCCTCCCTTTTATCTCTTTGCCTTGTTTACATTATTTTTTTTTGTTGTTGTGTTGTTCTCCTGTTTTACCATTTTCTGCCTCCTACTTCTTTCTCTCTCTTCTTTTTTTTCCCTTTTATTTTCTTTCTTTTTCTGTGTGAAGAAAAATAAAAGCCACATGGTTTGTCAGATAGTAGATAATAAATGTTTGGGAATGTTGTAGAATCCTGTCATGGGAACAGTTACTTCCATCACATCAGTGTATTGATGCCATAATAATTGCTCTGGTATGTTACAAATGCAATAGACATACTCCGTGGGATGGGGGAAAGCACCACACTGTCACTTTTTTAAATGTATGCAAACTAGTGCACAGAAGACAAGTTAATATTTTAAGCAGAAAATCAATCTACAGTACACCACAGGGGCTTCTTCATCACCTACAATTTACATCTTATGGACAAGTTGCAAAGTTCCTTTTTTTGACATCCTCCATAATTATCCAAAAACTTCTACAACACATAGGCTTTGAGGATGGTTGGTTGCCTATATGGTACCATTTAGTGGAATTTTATTAGTTAAACGTAGGAATATAAAACAGAAAATATCTCCTGACATGCCTAGACATCGGAAAAAAAACAAAATCTGGAGTTTAGTGTAAAAGTGTTCACAAATGGATAAAATTTGTTTCTATACACTTGCTGTTTTTTCTGAATTCCCTTAACCACGCTTGTCTGGGACAAGCATCCCTTAGCTTAATCCTCCTGGAGAACTCAAATTGCTATTTATGTTCTCAGCTCAGATTTTAGTTTTAGAAAAAAAGTGATGTACAGTGATGGCAGACAGCTTTTAAATAAGAGATCTCTTATATGAGAAGTTGCTCAAGGAGGCAAATCATGACTGTACTAGCAGATTAGCAACTGGAAGAAGTATTTAAACTCTGGTACAAGTTACTATTTCTTAATACAGTGAACATCCCTACTTCTCTATTCAGTGATTTTCCTCCTGAAATATACTCAGGCTAAGGAAAAGGAATCCGAGCATTTATGAGCTATCCTTGGTTGGCCCGTGTGTGTGTGTGTGTGAAAATCACAGAACCACAATATGGTTTGGGTCGAAAGGGACCTTTAACATCACTTAGTTCCAACACCTCTGAAATGGGCAGGGACACCTCCTTCCAATAGATCAGGTTGCTCAGAGCTCATCCGTGCTGGCCTTGAACAACACCTCCAGGGATGCAGCATCCACATCTTTCTGGACAACCTGTGCCAGTGCCTCACCATACTCACAGTAAAGAATGTCTTCCTAGTATCTAATTGAAACCTACTCTTTCATCCTGAAGCTTTTCCTCCTTGTCCTGTCATTACAGTTCCTGATGAAGAGTGCCTCCCTGGCTTCACTGCAGCCCCCTTCAGATACTGGGAGGTTGCCATGAGGTCTCCACAAAACCTTCTCTTCTCCAGGGTGAACTGAACTTTCTCAGCCTGACCTTGTTAGTGAAATGCTCCAGTGCCTCTGCTGGACTTGCTCCAACAGTTCCATGTCCTTCATATGCTGGAGAACCACAACTTTATGCAGCATTCTAGGTGGCATCTCATCAGAGCAGAGGGGCAGAATCCCCTCCCTTGCCCTGCTGGCCATGCTACTTTGGATGCAGCCAGGACACAACTGGCTTTCAGGTCTGTGAGCACACACTGCTGGCTCAGGTTGAGTTTTTTGCCAACCAACACCGACAAATCCTTGGATTGGACAAAATGATCTCCAGAGTTCTCAACCTAAACCATACTGCTGTTCTGTGATCCTCTGGGGCACAGTTATAACTCAAAGTCAGATTTCCCTTTCTCCAGACAAATGCCCAAACAACCACACACTGCTGTGGAAAAATGTGTGCGGTAGCATTACCCCATCACTATATTTGGAGCAAAGAGAGAAACCAGTATTTATCCCAGACTGGTTTTCAGGTACTTAGCCTCAGAGGTATCTACCTCCACCTATTGTCAAGTCCAGGTATTTTCTGAGCATGATGTAGTTTGTACTACTAGTAATCCTCAAGGAATCTCACTGCTGAGTTTCTCCTTGAATCTACATGAGCCCTTCTGCATTCACAATGACCTTCACAAATAATCTTAGATAAGTAGCTCTTACCTGTGATGCAAAAGAAAGTGGAAATTAAATTCCCTACTGTTCAAGAGTGAGTACCATTCAGGATAATTTTAAGTTTTAAAAAAATGCTGGATAATTCTAGAGTTTCATGCACTGGAGACTCAAAAATTTCAATGCCTGGGTTTTTGGGATAACTTATATACAAAATAAGTTTTTTCTTAGGAGTAAATTTGTTTTCTCACTTTTATACCTTATTCCTGCAATGCATGTAGTGATATATTATGAATTCTACAATAAAAAAAAAAGTTTGTAGGGCATTTTTAAGGTGCTAGTGTTACAAATTCTCAACAGCACAAAAGAAATTTTATTCTGTCATCAGTGACAGTAAAAACTAATTTATATAATAAAATCTCATAAAAACTCCTTTCTTTTTTCAATTTCCACAGCAAAAGAGTTACCATCAGTAGTTAAAAAGGCAAAAATAACTAAATATATTCAATCCTAAAAATAAAAATCACAGTAAAGATTATTATTACAATTCCTCTACAATGTAAAAATTTGGTAATAAGCTTTTCTACTGGTACCAAATAACACCTGTAACAGTGACTCCAGTAACTCTGTATTACTTTATAATTTGTATATTTACCCACGCACTGGAATATTCATACTCCTTGCAGATTTAGTGACTTCTTCAAACCTTTCTATGCTTTCTTCAATTGAACAATTAATATTCATTTTACTAAAAGATTCAGATGCTGCGCCAAATACCGAGACTTCTGTAGCTCCTGCTGCAATCTAAAAAACACATTTCAAGAAAAGAGAATCATAATACTACATTAAAGTATTAGATTGAGCATTTAATTCTGTACAACATTCTAAAATTTTAAAGTAAATTAAGTATATCGTCAATATCAAAAATCTAATTTTAATTCCAAATTTTTTTAAGCTATAGCATACAGACAGATTGAATCAAATTTTGAGATCATTCACTGTGGCATATTTTTTGCCTCTTCTTAGCAATTACTTAAACATGGTTTTAAAGTGATGAATGATATAGGGAATATGATGTAAGAATTCACATGAACCAGCTATATAAAAAACCATTATTAATACTTGTATGTATCTTTTCAGAAAAGGAAAAGATCATACAACAACTGTCATACTGTCTGTTCCCCCTGAATACCAGGAAGTCACTCTCATGCTTGGGAAAGCCCTCTGTGTGCATATGCCTAGAGCAGCAACAATAATCAACAGGGATTTCTTTGTTAGAGCTAACTCTAGGATCAAGGACTCCATTGGTCTTGGTGTCACAGTTGATAAGGATAATATGGAAAATGTGTACATCAGAGTCTGCTGAGAGAAGTCTTAGCAAACACCAGTCTAGAAAATGTGTAAATGTGGTGTTTTCACTGGAGGGGCAACTAGCCTGAGCTTGTATTCAGTACCTCAGTAAATCAACTAACATGAGGCAAAGTAGAAGGCTAAAAGCCAACTGATAGGAGAAGAAAACATTTTAGCTTAATAGTTAGAATAGTTAACTAACTCTCACTCTCCAGGCAGAATAATACTCTGGTTCAATGAAAAAGGATGGAGCTTTTGCCTTCACTCTCTGTCTCTGCAAGATAATGTCTAAAATTCAGCAACCCATACAGGGACAAATATTCTTTCACACAGATGGAAAAAAAATCAGCAAGAAGGAATGCAGGAATCATCTACAACTATTTTTTCATTGTTTTCTCTTCATTATATCACTAAATACAGTATAGAGATAAAACACCATTAATTAAATTCATACAAGTTACCACTGAGACAAAGTTGCAGCACTATAATCTGATGGTTGATAGTTAAATCAACCATGCACAGGATTCTGTTTTAACACTATTTCAGTATAGGAACTGAATGACACTAGAACACAAATGTCCACCAAGCAGTATGCTTTCCAAATACAGCCTGTCCTACATCAGGACAAAAGCAGAAGCACTAAAAATTTTCAAAAAACAAAAGGGTAAAGATTAGACTAACAATGTGTATATTTTAAGACTGAACTGCTCCATTTTCACTCTTACACACTTCAAGTCTATAGTTTTGAATATTTTGGAAGAACTGAAATAATTTAAACTTTCAAACCCAACCAAAATGAAATCCAGAATTGCTGTATTTAAATGAATATTTCCTCATCATTCTTCAGTGTTTTCCACCAAAACACTCTTGAAAACCTTTTCCAGGGACAACAAGTCAAAGAGAAAGAACTGTCTGGCCTCTTACATACAAGCATCATATAAAGGAACTTACAAAGTTCCTGGTCAATGCCTCCACTAAAATATGAGCTTAACATCACTCTGTGAATTTCCCATTTTTTCATAAAGGAAATTGGGCGTTTTCAGTGAAAAAAGATATAGCTTATTTCTGACATTAAATAGCTAGATTCTGGTAATGAACTGAAAGTGTCTGAAAAATAAAATAGGTAAATGTAGATAACACGTAAGAAAGTACTTACAGCAGAATGAAAACCTTGAAGATTAGGTGTGAGAACAGGATACTGGACCCCAGGATGCCGCTCAATGCCCCTCATTACTTCTTTGTGATCTGCCATCTAAAATAAAATAAATAAATAATTTGTATTGATCAGCAGTTATTTTCTAATTTTATATAACCAAATAGAAACTGGCTTAGGCTCTGCTTTTGCCTTCATTACTTTTACAGTTCATGCAAAAAGTCCAACAACAAGGGCGTTAAACTGATTTTGTACAAATACTCTTTTTTAATTTCATAACTTCTGACTATTTGTGTTGCAATTTTTTCAGATCTATGTGAATATAGAACTGGGGCTAAGACTTCGACAGTGTTCCTTTGTGTGTATCTGTAAAAATATAATTTGCATTATGAATTGACAGACTTATAATCATGCTGTTCATGAAGTGTTACAGCAACTTTAACTTTGCTTCACTGGACTTAATAGGTGGAAGTAACAGAATAACTGAGATTTAAGAAACATAGAAATCTTGAAAAGTTCAACACTCTGATAAATGCAACCTCACAATGTTAAGCATAACTGAACTTGAATTACTCAACACTGTCATCAGAACATTTCAAGACTAAACACGCCTATTCTGAAAGAGACAGCAAAATCTAGATGTCCGCATAGTGCAATGTTTTCTTATATTCAGAAATTTCTTTCTGAAGAAGAAAATACTTCTTTATTATAGCAAAGATCAGAGTACTTGTTTTCTTTAGTCTCCCCTCATAAAAGAAAATCTGCCTTTTTAAGATACACTTACATTTTCACTCATACATTCAAGATTAAATATACACCCTGTACTGATGAAGATTAATGAAACACTTACTCACTTAATTAAAGGCAGATTCTTTAGAGAAGCACATTTTTTTAAAATGAATAGGTTGAAAACAAATATTTTTCAATGGTGTGCACACCTGAAAACAATATAAAATAAAACATATCCCTCCTATTTAATGCCTTAAAGATTCTGAGTTTTAAAAAAAGAATAGTGCACATTAAATGCTTTTTAAATGAGTTCTCATAAAAACAAATCTCTCAAGCAAACACTATTAAGTTGGATTTCTGTTTCTTTCCACACTGGTGAAAAGTATTTTGAGAAGTACCATCTAAAAAGATATATGAACTACAGAGCTTTCATTACTCCTTACTTTCAGCAGATGCCTTCCTGATAGCTATGCATTACCACAATTCTAAATATATGTTATTAAATTATACCACACTATAAACTAAAAATACTGCTTGTGGCCTGGAATCTTCCAGTCATCAGCTTCCTTCTATGAAGATGAATGAATTAAAAATATCAGAAAAAAACTATGAATTCCTCTTCAAATATAAGCCCAATATGTATCTATAAGGAAAAGGTACAAAAGGCGTTCTATAGCCAGACACAATTAATTTCTTATCAGGAAATAAGTGATAAAACAAAACTTTTTGAATTTGCTTTTATGTGAAGTAAATTGGTCTGATAACCTCACAAAAAAACCTCTGTTATTTGTGAACAATTTTTCATTCCTTATTTTAATATAAGTAGTAGCTACATTTCTCAGGGCATAAAAGAATGTCTGAAACCAAATGATAAATTAAATGGCAAATGCTGGAACTAAATTCACTCCCCACAATTACAGTCTGTCTTAAAATATACTGGAAAACCAAAATGACACTTTTTCAACCAATATAAACCTACCAGACCCAAATAATATTATAAATATTAAATCTGTTCCATTGCTATTTTTCCTGTAAGTAAAATCCCATCTTTGCACATATTGCATGTTATAAGATTTTAAATTGTAATAAAATACTTCTTTTCCCAATTTCTTTAAAAATAAGCTTCCTAATAGCAGATATTTATAATTTTGGCTGTTTATGTTATAGGTGTGGTATCCTGTTTTATATGGCACCTTGCTACTGTGGAACTTTTTCTTTTAGATTTTTCAGTAAAAAAATATCTTTGCCAAAGACAACAGTGGATGGGAAACCATAAAAAATTTAAAATACTAAAACAGAAATAAGTGAATGAGTGATCTAAACATAACTGTAAATTCTATTCCCATGACCTATGAGAAAAAGAAGGAGCACAGAAAAGACAAAGTCACGACTGCACTCTCTGTCAAAGCAACCCAATCTTATCTTTTAAATTAAAAAAAAAATAGACACTAATTAAGCCATTAAAACAAAGTATTCCATGAATTAATTTGAGATAAGAAGGGATTGCTCGATTTTTTCTAAACTGACAAACCTGTGCTAAATTTGGTACTCGCAATGGCTCACAGGAAATGGAAATAATTAAACAAGAAAGGACGAAATACAACCTTGATTTAGAAATTTTCTTCTAACATTTGAAAAATGTTATTATTCTCTGTTGCAGTAACTGACAGTGTGAAGGCACTTAGAAAAATTTAACCTATTCCCTTTTAGCAGACAAGAGATCATTGCCCCTCCATTGATGTCAAAGAAATTCTCCTTTGTCACTCTTCTCTTTACCTTTCCTATTACCCTTCTTCTAGACTCTTCTCTGGTGACCCTGAGAACACTGAAATAAAGCAAAGGAGTCCTTCAGAGTGCTGTACAATTTGCTTTGTTAACTCTTGAATAAGCATGACTGCATTATGTTTTCCTTAGAGAAAAGCCTAGAATACAATCCAGGCCCAGGATGTATTTTCAGTTCAAAATGGACAAACTTTACATTTTGTCAGATGTGTACCATGCAATAGACATTGTTAAAATGGAAGCATTTTCTCAAATTAATTAACTTCTTGTTTTAATTTGTAAATAACTTGTAGGCTCCTTATCAAATACAAAGTATTCAAATTCTTCTGTGCAAACAAGTGTGCAATTTCCTGAAAAACAGTTGGAATTATAAAGATAAATACTGACTTATTTCCATGTTTGCAGGAAATAATTAATTTGCACAAACAAGCGCTAAATAGTAAACTTCAGGACTAAGCCTGAATTTGCAGTGTTAAATTTCAAATGGAAATGTGGCACTCTAATGCCAATGCAGTTTTGCTGCCAATTCCAGAAAGGCTAGGTTTCTGCTGAATTTTACCAAATGTAAAAATTAATTCTGGAAAAATAATAAGCAAATTTTTATGATTCATCAAAATTTAAGCGAAGCTGCTGATAGAGTGTTAGAAGTCCAAAATAAGTAACATGCCTAACTACTACTACATATGTAGAAGTCCCAAATTTTGATCTTCCAAACACATTTGCAAATGTGGAAAATTACACTTCATTTAGAGAAAAAGAAAATAACATATACTACTTTTCTTTTTTACATCAATGACTACTAGTTTTAGTAGAATAGAAAATAGGTAGGTACAACATTAAATTATATTAATGATGCGTCACCATCCCAAATCTTTAGTTACAACTGAATTCTACATAAATAAATGGAATGGCATTTAAATTGAAATAGTTGTGAATAGAGCTGATTTTACGTACCTGAGGAACCCATTTGGATGAAACAAAACTGGTTACTTCTATTGCAGGCAGGCCTGTTTTGGAAAGCTGGTTGATTAACTCAATTTTTATATCAGTTGGGACTATCACCTATAGACATGGAGACATACTTTAGCAAAGTATTTCATACATAAGAAACTTTTTAAAGTGAAACTTTCCTTGTATGTAAGCAATACTTTTTTTATACAATAATGAGCTATTCTTACACATTTTACCATAACTTTTCTGTTTCCTGACCGGAGTAAGTATAAGGAAGGTATAAGGAAGGTACTCAGCAGTATACATGATCTTACTCCATTTTCTGTCCATCACAAAAGGAAGCACTTCTGTAACTGGTTATAGATCTGGCCTCATTATTTGTTATTAACCAAACATCAAACTAGCAAGAACTGACAAAGGAAATACTAACAGGGTGACCAGTGAAAAATGGGAGGAAAAAAGCTCCCTGGCTGCAGCAGGGTAACTCTATTCTGCTAATACCACTAACATCTCTGGTATCAGGAACAATGATATATGTGAGCTTATCCTCCTGTTTGTGGAAATAGATGATTGTTTCTACACATGTACCCTATAATCTCTTTCAATCTTCTTCCATGCTTCCCTACCACCCTTCAGGCAAATAATGCTACCAAAAGAGTAATATTTTTCTCCCACGTCTCTTCAGCAGGAAACATGATAAAATCTATTTTACTATTCCTTCTACATTGACACTTGAAGCAGAAACACAAGTTACAAAGATAGCCAGTGTTTCCTAGTGTTTACAAATTACGTCACAGCCGAATGTTATTGACTGACAAGATAAATGCCAGTAAAATGAAATGCTGAGTAACAGAAAGGCTAGTTAGCCAAGTATAGAAAGAAATTATATGATCTAAAAGCTGAGCAAATAGGAATACACTTTCATTCTAATATAAAGGTAAGTTATCAATACGAAAATAGATATATTTAATAATACCAAATGAAAGAAACATAATTAGCAGGATGTGCATGTTCTACACAATGAAAATAACACTAAAATCCATGTAAAAAAAAAAGAAGAGAAAAGTTACCTTCTCATTTTGTAAACCATCCCTTGGCCCAACTTCTACAATCTTTATGTACTCAGGCAGTCCAGATGCTTGAAGTTCCTGAAATAAAAATCAATACTGAAAAATAAAACAATGAAGATCAACACCAAGATCAAAAGGTACAGCTTGTACTTGTCATTTCATATGACTCTGGGTATAAAGTCATATTTTTAACATTAAGTTTGCTCAGCACATTTAAAAATCTCTGAGAACATGCTCCACACCTTGACCTAAGGAATAAAAGTTAAAACAAGAAGTTAGTGAATGTTCCACTGCTCCTTTGAGGTCAAAAAGGTTTATTAAAAATGTATATAGAACCATAAATGAACATTGAGTTTTACAGTGAGAAATACTTCCATTTCAAAAATCTTTCCAATGAACAATCCAGCCCTCCAAACTTATAACTGAATGTTCTCAATTTAACTTAACAGGTACTTCTCTGTAAATGTTTGCAAGACCGGACTATAAATCTGAAAAGAACATAGCAGTCAAGAAATGTTAAAGAGATTATTAGTGAAAAATGAAAATTATTTCTCTTACTGAAGATGAAGGTTTTAAAAAAGGATTTAAAGGCAAACAAGGAAAGCCTCTAGTAAATAAGGAGATTTTTTCAGGTGTAAGAGCAGCTCTGGAAAGGCAGGAAGCTGACAGGGACAGGATGGAAAAAAAGGCAGCAGTAAGGTCAAAGGGCTAAGGAGAGCATGGGGAACTGGAGAGGGAGGAAGGAGAAACAAGAACAGGAAAGCAGGTGAAGGGAAATGAAATTTCCTTTTTTATTATTTAGCTGCTCTGTGATTGAGTCAAGTTGACATGTGTGGCAGTTAACGTAAACTGGGCCTGTAAGTCCTGGAGCAGTTCACAGCAGTGGGCTGGATTGAACCAAAAGCTGCATTGCCCTTAAAGACACACCGCATGGCTAATTTGGGGCACGCTGTCCATGCTCAGGAGTGGACAGGAGAGCCACAGGAGCTGTGGAAATCCCCTTTTCTGTATTGCACTGAGGACAGAAGCCAAACCAGTTCTCCATTCCCATGCTGAAGGCCTGAGCTGGGATTAGCACGAGCTACCTGCAGGACAGCTGCTCCAATCCCCACCACCTCTCCTGGGAGTTTACACCACTGGAAGGGTGACACTTTCAGCACAAGGTGACAGCTCTTGCCCATGGGAGTAACAGCTCCCCCAGACTGGGGACACTCCGTAAATACAGCCACTAACCTCACAACATCTACAACCAAAGGAAAACCCCATCTTTTATTCCTTCCTGACTAGTATCATCAGAGCTGCTCAAACCAAATGGATGCTAATTTCTCCTCAGTAATGGAAAATGGGCATGCCTATGAGCACCTTTGGTTTCTCCCTGCATTCTTGGTGCCTGTGGGCAGTTCTCTGCAGGACTTGCCAAAATACAATAAATATATTTCAGACAATTTACTGTGTATTTATCTGAGCCCAGTAAAAAGAATAGGAAACAGCTGTATAGCATCTATTTGATCACATGGAACATCTGGTAAGTTGAAACTCTGTCAGACCCTGCTAAGCCCACACTCACTGACAGTATAAACCTACTTAAATGTGAAGGTAAAACCTTCACATCTGCTGCATATTGTTCCTCTTAAGTTATTTTCACAAATATGGCACTGCTTCAGCACTACAGGCATAAATCTGGGTTATTTCATGATTATCAGATCCTTCTTGTTGCAAGACAAATGCCACAGCTGTGCTATGAGTGAAGCTGTGACTGGAAAATAAAAAGAGAGCTAAAATAGATTATGTGAACCAAAGCATAATTTAGAGCATGAAAAATGTCCATAAAACTTAGAAAGCAAAAGCGTTCATTTTCTAGGCCAAATCTTGTAAATCCTATTTAGTGCCTACTGTGGCAAAATTTTGTGAAAATCAAGAGCTGTACTTGCCTTTTCAGAACAGTTCCCACAACCACATCAGGTGATGTCCACAGCCCTTGGAGTTCATAGGGGTCAAAAGTTTGGAGGGGATATTGCCGAAAGGCATTCAAATATTGGGTTTTATTTTCTGTCTGTGATATTACAGATACACAGTCTCTCTGAACCACAGTCCAAGCCTCTCAGCCCCTGATTTTGTCTACAGCCTTCCTGTTCACTAGTCAGACTCAACTTGAATTCACTGTTCATGGAGTGAGAACAACACTGAGAGCTACAGAGGGAATGACTCCCACATACTGGAAACTCAAGGCAGTACTATAAACAAATCTGTACATTCTTCAAGCTGGTGAACTAAAAGCTTAGACTAAACTTCTTGGCTCTAAGTCTAGAGGAGTCTTGTTTTGCATTGTATTTCATCTAATTTTATTTCTGGTACATTGATTGCTCCTATCTTCAATGCCACTCAGTTTCTCCTGTATGGCATCCAATGTTGTACTGAAAATGTCTCCTGTCCTTCAATTATCAGCAGATATTAGCACCTTCACACTTTCTTGTGAAAGCTTTTGGACTATCACTACCTTATTTTAGTACAAACATGTATTATCTCAAAAAGAATTAGAGTAGTGACACAGAAGAAAGATGCTGAGAAGAAAGAGGAGCTCCACCAGCAATGTCTTTCCAGTTTAATAAATCTGCTTTTGACATTATCTCCTATTTCCTCCTCAGCCAGTTTCTTATTCATCTCACACATTCTGTTCTGATCATCCTTCTCCCCAGCATAACTAATAATTTCTCTTACACTGCATTGCTGAAGCTCCGATAACAGGCAAGTCAAAGACAGGCAGAACACTTAGGTTCAGGTCCCTATATATTTGCATACTATTTATACATTTTACAGTCCATTTCTGCTGGATAGAACACAGAAACTAATTGGAAACTATAACAGTATGTGTACCATCTGCTAAAGTGACTCTAGCTTTTTTCTGTGCTGCGGCTCAAGCTGAATCGAAGGAGGATTTAACTCCTTGGAATCTCACCTGTCCTGTGAATGAATACTCAGTAACTAGCTGTTGGGACATTCTTCCAAGAGAGAAGGAAATATGTACTTGGCAAAGCTGTTGGGAAGAAAAAGGAGACTCCACTTTCTAGGAAGTTTTCTGATCAGAGTGCTGCACTTGCAGAATATCTGGACATTACTTAAATAACGTCTTAAGAAAGCACCTGAGCCACAAGTCATATTCTGTGCCAGGCTCAATGCCATCTGCACTCACTAGTCAAGCTTCAAGTGCACAGAACACACCAAAGTCTGTAAGAACTTAGGCAGAGTCTAAACACTTCTCTGTTTACTACCTGGATGGCATCAGACCTCCACCAGGACTTGGGCTTCACGAATTTGAGGACTCATTTCCTCAAACTCTGATCGGAGCATTTCAAATGTACATCACACCCTTGGGTAAAAGGAATGATTTTCTGAACCAACAGGACTAACTTAGAAAATTTCAACACCTTTAAGTATGGCATTAAATGCCCTACAGATAATAATCAGAAAATAGAAATAAAAAGAAATATGCAAACCAGTTTTCATATTTTAAATGAATGAGAAATGGTGAACTTTGTAGAAATACACAAGTACCAATTTTAGTACCACTAAACATGTCAGGTATACAATTTTGTTTCAGAAAAAATATTTACTAGATTGAACTATAAGAACCATTTTTATGTAACAATATATGAAAAGTAGTAATGGCAAATACTTAGGGGTGACTGCTTATTGAATAATACAGGGTCTCTGTTAAAAAGTAATGACCACTAAAGTATCATGTTTTAAATATCAAAAAGGAAATAGCTGACATAAAAGACTAAGAGCCTGGAAAATTTGTTTTTCCATGTATCAAGCCTTGCCAAGGGAGCAAAAAAAGCATACAAAACCACAAAAAATTGCCTCTCTCACAACAGAATGCAGCCAAAGAGTATTTTTAAAAGAAATAGAAAAAGGAAAACCAACCCATTTAGCTTGAGACATTGAATGCCAAATTTCTGTATGGAAACATTTTCTCTCAACTATAAATAGCTGCAAATTTAGGTTCATTACAGAAAACCCTAGTAACTTTTAATTAAAGCAGTATAATCTCCCTAATGTAACAATAAATGTAAAAAGATTAAATAAACACACTTTTTACGCTCTGTCACTACTTCACAACTTCACTACTTCTACTTAAGGTGCTGAGGTTCTTTCAGCCTTCTGATTTTTATTCCATGAAGGTCATTCATAAGGGCAGAAACAGCAATGGCAAATATTATCCAGAACTTCTCAAAGGTAACTGAAAATCACAAAAGTAAAAGAGAAGCATCTGGAGATTCAGGTCTTTTCAATCCTTCTAAGATAAAGCTCTCCTTTCCTTTTCCACAAGGTGGTGTTCTGGCACAGAGGACACTGAACAAAGGTAGGTCCATTCTTGTACAAAGAATTACTCAGGAAAGCAGTTTTCATCAAGAATCAGCAGGGAGGTGGCATCATAACTCCATAATGTATACCTGCAGTGACATGGAAAAATGCCCAAAAACCGGAAGAAGGCTCTAAGACAAATAATATGATTGCTGGAAGGAGAACAAAGAAAACTGGTCAATCTTCTGAACATTTAGATGTCTCTAAACTTTACAAGATATAGAGGAAATAAACAGGAAGAAATTAAAATCCTTCTTCACATAGTTCACACTACTAGAAGGCAGATATAAAACATATTAATTCCCATAGTAATTAATTATTAGAGAAAAAAATGGAGAAGATTCAAAAAACAGTGGGATGCACCTGAGGAATATCCCTCAGTAAAGATAAACTGAGTATTCTTGAACTTCTGCTGCATGCTGCTGACATGACCACTGGAAGAGGAGTAGCCATGAATGGACCATGACTAGCAAAAACCTTCAACCCCTGAGAATCTTTCATCACATGAAGTTTTCTTATTATATCACTCCACATTCATGACCTGAATGTTAACACAGACAGACCACAAAAAAGCAGTTACAGCTGAGTACAAAATTCTATCGAATTCCCCAATGCATTTCAATAAAAGCAATATGCAAGATAACACTTAGGACTCTCCATATTGTTTCTCAAGTAAGAAAATGAAATTACAAACTTGATCCTGGGCTACAAGG